CCCTCCAGAGACTGTGCTGGCGGCACCTCCCACGGCTGCTGCAGCTGCAGCTTCTCTTTGGGCTCTTGCTTGCTGAGCCCTTGCTTTGATATCTGCAAGAGTTCTAGCCCCAGTATTTCTCCCACTGCTGACCGATGTACTTGGGGAAACTCGAGGTTCTGGCTTAGAAACAGGTTGGCTCTTGATGATGAAAGGTGGTCCAATTTTTGAAAGCTGAATCTAAAGGAAGAAAAAACCCAATAATTTTAATGAGATCGTCGACTGGCTAAAAATCACCAGCTGTCTCTTAAAAGGGTCAGAAAGGTAATGAAGGGAATTACTGCTCAGTGCAGCTGGACAGAAAACTGCTAAAAAATTAATGATATTTACACTGCAGTATTTTATCATCCTCCAGCACGAATAACTGACACCTGTATTGGCCTACTCACGTTGTTCCTTCTGACAGGAAGAAAGATTGAACTGGATGACAACATGATGCTTATCTGATACAATTTGTCAGACCTGTTTTATCGGCTGTGTATCTAACTGAGAAGATCAACAAGCCTAGTGCAATGATACTGGAAAAGAGCCTACAACTAAGCACTTGCTGTAAATGTGTGAAAAAGTAATGATCATGTAGTGCTTTTGCTCCTTGGTCTCCACTGACTGAGAGATTAGGAACAGCCTGTCTTTCGCTTATATACCAGACAACAAATCTTGCCTTTAGATAGGATGTAGCAGTGTCTCCACTATTTTTCATGTTACACCACAGAGCACGTTAGAGCTGTGGTATGAAAGAAGCGAATAACCAAAGGACATGCCTTTCCCTTCCTCTCTCACAATTTTAAAAGATCCGCTTTAGTACATCCCTGAGATACCTCCTACACTACTGCTTTTCAAAAACAAAATCCCCAAACCTACAAATATTAAAAATGCAAATATTAAAGTTTTAAATACCTAAAACTTTAAGCAAAATAATAACCTGTAAAATCACTGGGATTATTAGTATGTTTCCGATTAGACACATCTGTTTTCAGGATTAGAGATTAAGAGTCCTGGGACCACTTTATAACTCATACACTCAGAATACTCAAAGGTAGGCAAAAATATATTTCCATTTCTTAAAGGGACATATGTTTACCGGCTGTCCACAGTAATAGGACTTAGTGGTTAATGTTGTAACTTCTCTTCTGAAAGGAACTGAGAAGAAAACTAGGTAGTATTTGTAGAAAAAGTAATCATAAGGTATGACAGAAAGTGAGAGCCATGTAGCAGAACGATTTAGGGGAACTGGGGTTCTTTTTCCTCTTTTAATAACAAAGGATAGGGGTTTGTTGGTGAGATGACCCAGGAGCCAAATATTTGTTACACAAAAACCAGACTAGAATTGATTGTCCAAAATTATTTGGAAATGCTTGCCAATTTTTTATTATTCTCATTCACTGACTGGACATTTCAGGGAGATTCAATTGAGAAGACTCTGCAAGACTGACAGCATCTGATTTTCCATAAGACATCAGTGGAAATCAATAGTAAGATGGTATTGTAATATATAACCATTTATATAACCATACAACTCTATGCTGGTCTGGAGAGCTGGAATACTTCACTTTTCCTAGCAGTTAAAGTTTTGGCTTATAAATAAACGCTCATGCCTAATATTGCGAGGCTTTAACATTTACATAAATGTGTTTTAAAGAATATCACAAATTCACAATTACTTCAAAACGTTTTACTTTGTTTCTTTTTTCAGTTTCTACTTTGCATCACCAGAACTGCTAAAGCTCTAAGTGCTTGATTATTTTTATTATTATAGTCATGACCTTTTTTTATTCCCTAGTGATCTATTTTCCTTTGTGCTTAGAGAATGATTAGAATTTATTAGGCTAGATAGAGACCTTACAAATATGAAATAATATCACTAAACTCAGAATGGGCTAACTTCCAATTGCATCACTGCTCATAAAAATAAATTAGTTGAAATATGCTGCTGCACTAGTGATTAAAACAGTTAGCCTATTTGCCCTCCTGGCCATATTAACAATGTTCAGTGATTGCAGCAGTTAAAAATAAATGCAGAAAAGGGTATTTCTGAATAATCAGGAACTAGTATTGCAAAGTCAATGGCTTAAGTTCAGCAAATTGGATCTAAAACTTGGCTGATGTTATCATGTACAAAATTAAAAGGGTCAAAATGCTGAGCCTTATATAACTAAATCTATAGATCCCTCTGTTAGGGGAAAAAAAAAAAAAGCTTTTAACTGGAATTTACTTTCTTACATAGCAGAATGATGCACATAAAAGAGTTTGCTTAGCTGGTGTATCTTTTTTTACCGTGTGCTCTGCCATTAGCAAAGATATCTATACACATATTGATTAGACGCTTCCCCCTGATAGCCAGGTCTCTGTTTCCAATTAATTCTACAGGGAATTCTTATACTTCAGCCTACCCCAAGCCCTGGGCTTGTAAAGAATCTCCAGCTATTTTGACTCTACGTTCTCTTGCTGGATTAAGGCACTGGTTCTTTTTCTTAGTATTGGTTATGGTAACATTTATTATTCGTGCTTGTTGGAGAAGTCATCCACAGGAAAATGAGCGGATAATACAGTTGGGCAATTAGAAAACCAAGTAGCACTGTGTAAATGATGGGGAAGCTCTTGAAGTAGAATAAGCCGTAGATCCTGGAAAACTTTCCCTCACACAAAAGCAATTTTGTTGTAAAGACCCTGACTGAACAACTATAGGTATATTTACGTGAGAAGTAATTTGGCATGGTAGGAATGTAATAGTAAAAGCAAAACCATCATAACTAACCCCTCACACCTCCACAAAAAATACACCATGCGCTATGTCTGCATGCAGTCAGTAGGAGAGAGATAATAAAACTTTCATTCCCAAGTCAGCCTGTTTATTCGTTACTTTACCTTAAGGGGTGGAACTCGGGGTTCTTCTCTGGGTGGTTGATCTTTATCAGATGGACTCGTTGATGAAGCACTACGGTTAGGCTGATCATCGTCTATTCTAGCTCTCTTCTCTTTGCAGATTCCAAAACTGTGCTGTTCTGCTGTTTTCCTCTTTGGGATCTCTGGGTCTCTACTTTCATTCCTCACTTCAGGTGATTTTGTGGGTTCTAATGACTTGGAAGAATGTGAACTCTCAAGACGGCTTTGGGTGCTGCCTGTTAGCTTGTGAGATTTACTTCTGCACACTTCAGAGAATGTAGCTTTCTCTAGAGATGAGGTATATAGTTTATCATGTGGCTTTGATGGAAGCAGTTCGATATTTTTGCCAACTGATCCTTCTGGTAAGACCGCTACCTCTGATGGCAAGAGTGTACCTTTCTTGTCACCTCTTTGCTGAACACTATGATTTTTAATTTTGATCACCTCTGGAGGAGAGTGTTCTGGGATGGATGCAATATAAGATTTCTCAATTTCAGAATGTGACTTACATGGCTGATGACTGAGGTTTTTGCTTTGAGGCTCTTCCAATACTGAAGTATCAGGTATAATTGTTAGTGGACCAACTTTCGTATTTTCAGGGGCACTCTGAAGTTGCTTTGGCTGAACGACAAGATTTTCTTCTTGAACCACCTTAGGAATGGCAGAGCTTTCATCTTTCAAAGTGGGAAGGGAGTCTTCCAACAAACACGGTGATTTCCTTTGTTGCAAAACAAGTCTTTCATTGCTTGGGGAATTAGAAACTGGAGATGTCTCTGATGGAAGAGGCAAACTATTTGCTACGGATGTTTCAGAAGTTAGAAGAACAGAAGATACTGAAGATGTTTCTGATGTTAAAGGCAAATCAGACATTGGAGATGTTTCTGATGTTAAAGGTAAATTAGAAGCTGGTGATGCCTCTGATGTTAAAGGTAAATTCGACATCAGAGATGCTTCTGAGGTTACAGGCGAGGTGGACATTGGAGAGATTTCTGACATTAAAGGTGTGTGCAAGTTTTCATCACTGGCCTTTTGCTGAATATCACCTTCAGTGTTTTCAGTACTGGACACTTCAGATGAGCAAGCTGTTTCAAGAGATACTGGAGTACAGGGTTCCTCTGAAGTTGACTGAGTGTCTCCTCCAGGAGAAGCAATACAAACACATGGTCCTTCTGGACTTCCTGAGGAAAAGGAAGTTTCAGAAATACAAGCATTCTCAGATAACTGTTCCTCAGGGTCACTCTGAAGCTCCATATCCACCGCGATGCCTCCACCAGTGAACAAGGAGCCTTCCAGAGCAGCGTTTTGCATTTCTGGTGCAATTAGCTCTTTTGCAGACTCAGAATCCTTCTCTGCTGTATCACTGACAGAGTTTGTGGATGAAGCTGATCGTGCTGGTGATACACAATCCTCCAGCTGATCTATCACAACTGACATCTCCTCCTGAGGGCATTCTGACTTCAACTCCACTTTAATTTCAATGTGAGATACAGTATCAGTTACATCATTCATCATGACACAGGACTCAGTGCTGTCTGCAAGCTGCACTGCCTCTGTTTCTTCATTTGTGCCAGCTGGACTTACTGACTCCTCAGAAAACTCATGTTCTGTTTTATGGTTCTCCTCTTGGCATTCACAAATACTTGTCTCAACCTCTTCAGCAATCTCCTCCTGAATGATTGATTCTTCAGGTATCAGAATATCCTCTGAGTCTGCCATTAGATCCTTGACAGGAACCTGTTCCATATTGCAAAGAGATGGACAATAATCTCTCTCTGGTAAAGGCGGAATTTTAGCACCTTTCTTTTCTTGGTCCTCAAAGGTTGCTTGCTTAGAAGGACCAGGTGTACCAGAAGATTCACACAAAGAATTGCTTTCATCTTCATCATTGTTCTGCGCTGCAGTGAGTTTCATTGATTCTCCTCTTGACATTCCCAATCTAAATAAAACCACACAAATTAAAAAGGTATTTTCATCACAGACACGATAAAGTAATAAGATCGTCTTTCTTGCCCCCATCTTTTATTTACAAAAAGGACATACTTTCCCATTTAAAACAGTGGTTTGGTTAAGTGGTGGGTGACTAATTTATATGGTTGTACATATAGTTTTATATATTTCGGGAAACTAACTATCCAGATTTTCTTACCAGTGTTAAGAAACTTAAATATTTTAAAAATAAGTAATCTATTATTTAACTATTTGGCACTTCAATGAAACAGAAAAGCAAGCTGCACACATTTCTGTGTTTGTTTTTGTTGCTTTTTTATTTTTAATACCAGCACTGCAATACTATTACAGCTTGCATTGCAGAGCAAATGCACAACTATATCTTCTTCATCAGTAACAGTTCTAAAGGAAATTCCTTTTTTCCTCCTACACCTGCATTTAGGGTCAGCACAGCCAGCAATATGGCTTAAATGCTGTACTTTAAAGAAAAAGCTGTACCTGAAACTAATAAGGCAAAGCATGTGCTTCAGTTTTGTAATTTGAAAGTCATTTCAAATTTATGATAAAAATCAAAATAACTCCACTTCAGCCTCATTTTACAACTCAAAAGTCAATTATAAAGATCTCAGTTGACAGCTTGTGTGGTTTTGCTCCATTCTTTCAGCAAACTAAATACTACATTTAAGATAAAAACTATTTCTAAATAAACAGATTTATGTATATATTATTCATTCGATTTCACTATAATTAAAAAGAAGTTTAACATTCTTAAGGAGCTAAAAAGACAGATATTTATAATCTATGCATTCATTCTCAGGGATGAAGTGCAAAGGAACCATTCCTATGTATACTTCTCTTCTGAAGATTTTCTTACCTTTGGTCCTGAAAGTATTAGTTAAAAAAAAAGTTTTATTACTTCAATAGATTTTAAAAAAAAACCCCAAACCAACAAAAAACCACAACAAAGCAAAACAAAACAAAAGCCAAAGGCTGGAAAAAATGGTTATATTTAAAAATATATGCACTCTGACATCCTCATTTCCTTCTAAGGGCAATTGGAGTACAGGTGTTTCAGTATCTTTATTAAGATTTTCCAAGCAGACTTTGTGCCTCAGCAATTCCGTAATAGCAGAAGATACACAAAAGCTTGGTTGGAGGCCTTAAAATAAATTTCATGGTCTTAGGGATGTTTGAATCTAATTAATAGAAGTTTGATCTCGGTTCTCATTTTAATCAGAAAGTAAAGAATAATACGGAACTAAGCGAGCAAAAAAGACATTCAGAAATTATGGAAGCAAGATAACTTGTCAATGTGCAGTCAGAGGATACAGAGATCGCAAAGGCCCATGTATATGACAGTACAGAATAAACATGTAAAAAATCAAAACCTGTGGTTGCACGTTTTAAAAATACTGAACAGATGCATTACAGTGATAGCCATAAACACACACTAAAAACCCAGGCTGGAATTGGTAACCAAAAAAGCACTCTCAGGGTAATTATTAATATTGCCTACTACTAGTCACTTAATATGCACAAAGATTCCCTATGCCATTAATACGCTGAGGAAGGATCCTCTAGAAAGCAATTCAGAACAGCAAATTTACATCTCCCACATTGAATGCATTTCAGAAGATGTGTCCTCCTTCTGAATAGACCATAGGTTTCCTATATAGTCTAAGTTTAGGTTATAAGTTAAGGTGAGTAAAGTTTAGTTTACCTAGGTTTAGGTGAGTAACTTCCTGTCTCTAAAATTCCTTGTGTAAATGAGCAAAAGTTATCTCAGGAAAATGAAGAGGGGAAAGAAATCCACTGCATTAGTCAAAACAAAATCAGTGGTCTATTTTCTCTAGCTGGCTTACATCACGAAATGGTATTGCCTGGTAGTTGTCTTTATGGAATGAAAATCAGCAACATAATGAAGGACAGGATAAAGGTGAATGCAACTGTCACTTGAACACTACGCAAATACACACATTCTAGTAACATACTGAAGAGGAAGAAGTGTGAGAAAAATAAGATAATGCAGGATTAAGGCCAGCAAAACATGTAACTGAATATTAGTTGGTTTTCTGAAGTAATGGAAATACTATCTTGAAGAAGATACTGCAGTGAAGAAAAAGGCTTTCAAAAGGAGAAGGCTCAAGATCAGCTTGTTTAAGGCAATCTCAGATTGTAAGATAAACAGCTGATCTGTCATCTTCCTCAGAGAAACAGGCACCCAAAGTTTGCAAAACAGCACAAAAATATGAGGACAGCAGTAAACAGCCATGAGGGAAAGTGCTGATAAAGACAGGATTAACTGAGAAAGTAAGGGCAGTCAGTCATCAAATAAAAAAAACCCCAAATAGCTACTCAAGGATATATGGATGCTGATATTCTAGTGTTGTGAAAGTAGTACTGGGGAGAATAGATAAAAAAATAATAATGAAGAATATGAAGGATTAAATCAGCAATAAAATTTAGAGGAGGTCTACCCAAAATTAAAGCTTTGATTTAGTGAGCTGGCAGTACTATCCTGACACGTAACTCTCTCAAGAGTGGGAAAAGAAATAATATATTGAAACAATAGAGTATAATCCTTGCAATCCTGGGGCAACAAGCCAGAAGAACATGAATTTCTGGTGACATGCATCAGCTGATTCTGGATAAATGACTGCACAATGAAGTTTTTCGTTTTTTAAGTCAGAGAGAGGAAAAATGAACAACCATGAGAAAGCAGAAAGAGAACATAAATGGATGGAAGTAAACTACAACTGGCAGTCCTAAGATAAACAGCCTGAGCAGAGATAAGAGCAAACACAAGAAATATACTGTATAGAGCTACAGGGAAGAAGCACTCTAATGCCTTTGAATGCCATGAACTGGGGAGTATGTAAAAATATTTACAAGATTCTATATCTATTGATGGTTCTTCTCTAACTGTAAGGTGAAACTTGAATTTACTTATGCAATATTAAAAGATCAAATTAGCTGAAGTCAGAGAAAAAATACCACATTGACTGTTAGTTGAGTAAGTTAGACTGCAGGAGAGATCCATTTTGCAGACAGTGCATGTGAGAAATGACTCAGGGAAGTTTCAAACTCTGCTACTTCTGTTGAATCGACATAGCAGAAAATAGACAAAGCTCAATCATACTCAAAGCAAGTTTAAAAACCAAAGTGAAAAAAGGGGAGAGAAGTTACACAAGGTGGAAACTATAGCAAAAGCTACCATTTGGTCAGTAAATAATGAGAAAAAGTACTTAAATTTGGCCAAGCAGCAAAGAAGTAGAATCTGTCTACATAACAGCCAGGAAGAAGAATGCAAGTGAAACAATGCAAGCCGCAAAAAGGGCAGGGGGGACCAGATTCAATACTGTAGTCAAAATGGAAATTATGTGCAATATGACATTTTGCATAACAATGTTGATGCCAGGAACTTATCAACCCAAATGACATGTATCACTGAAGACTGAGTAATTACCTGCCAACCATTACAGTGTCCAGCATTCAGCTAGCACGGCAGGACTGCTGGCTCTGTAAAATTATGAGTATCATTCTCCGTGCATGTGACAGTCATTTGTGACTGAGGAATAGGCTTCAGCTAGAGTGAGCTGCTCATGCTTTGCTGGTACTAAACTTCTACTTCTTGTGGAAGGCCTCATGTCAATACCTTACATAGCCCTTTCTTTCATGAAGGGTTGGTAACTGACTCTTCTCTTGACATGCATAGTGAAAAGCCATTATGTTCCTTACCTAAAAACCTTATTAGTATTTTTTGATACTAAAGGGATCAATGTCTGGACTACATGGAGGTCTCAAAGCTGTTCAGTAAGAAATTAAGCACTTGACAATAAGAAAGTCTGCCATGATAAGACCCTAGAATTTCCATTATATCTAAAGATAAAGTGGTGTAGAAATAGTATTCACACTGGGAGAAAGCACCTAGCAAGGATGTGCAAAATAAAATATTAAAATGGATCTGTCCATTTGCTGCCTTGTTTTCATTATATTTCCCAGTGGTCCAAGACAGTGGATTCCAAGAAGTAGCATTGTTACTGCAGAAACGCTTTACTTAATGCCTTAATCTTGTAAGTTAATCACTTATATGAAGGGTTCCCTGTGACCTGGATTTCCTAAGTAAAAAACATCTAACAACAAAACTAAGACATCTCATGTGATGACGGCACATGGTTCCCCTGGCACATTTTTGTCTGCTAAGTCATATTCATAAATTCCATTAAAACATACCTGAAAATAATAAAAAAAATCAGTAACATTAAAATAACTAGTTTATACTTTATAATAATTAATACTTTTAATACTTAATATTTTTTAAACCAGAGATGTAATTCTAAGTATTGATGGATTAAGTTTTGAAGCAATTTTTAAAAGGAAGATTCTTCAATTTTATAAAGATGAGAATGTCCTTAAAAATTTGATTTTTTAAAAAAACCCAGAATATAAGAACTAAATCTTTGACTGCTGCAGAATGCCATCTTGTACTGTCATCAATGAAATTGTGCTGACTCCCCACAGTTGTGCACCTGCAGTGATATTACGTAATTCATTTTAGTCATTTAAGGGTATTTATTCTTTGCATCTCACTTCTAAAATTAGACTAGCCATTGCCACTTTGTATATCCACACAGTATTACTCTACTTCAGCAAAGGGCCATCTCAATCAAACAATAAAAACCACTATTTGATTTCAGAAACTTTGCAACTAGCTTAGAAAAAATAAAAGAAATGAAAACATACTACAGAAATATCTATACTGGTCTTCTAGTCTGTAGAAGCTGTATTTATATGTTGCAGGAGGGGACAAATGCTATCTTTTAAAAGGTAATTAGAAAATACTCACATGCTTGGGCCTTGTGTCTTAAGCTCTCCTTGGAATGAACTTTTATGGATGAGTTATGAACCTTTAAAAATGCAATTGTAATGCAAGTGCAGACACACCACTATAATTCTACCCACAACTTCTTATACTGGGGAATGACTGCCTTTGATAACTGCTTTATTAAGTTTTGCAGCATATGACTGTGTTATGTGAAGCAGAGAATTATATTTTCATTTCCTCCTAAAAGAAAATGAAAAAATGCTTTTATTTGCTTCAGTACTTACTTTTCACCATAAAACCTTTCAAAGAATTTTTCTTTCCAAGGTTCTGTTTTCTTTTCCTTTTCAATTTCTTGTCTGATGCGCAACTGCATTTCTGGTGTAAATTCTCCTAAAAAACAAATACTAACATATTGAATAAAAGTTGTCAAGGATTAACTTAAGATGGGTAATTATAAATTAAAAATACAAAGATGACATACAGTGATTTCTGTTACAGTCAACCAACAATTCTAAATGAAAATAAAGAAAAACAAAAGTGAGTGTGACATAGCAAGATTTAATTTACCATATAACATCAGTATTTCAAAAGTATATTGGTAGGATTTAGTTACATGCATTTATGTTTCCAAGGCTGGCCTGAAAATGCTTGGGGTTTTTTTTAACTGTCAAAATAAGCTGCCACAGCAAGCTGTAAAAATGTGCACTAAATTTAAAATGGAATCAGCAATTTTTCTTTTGCTGAATTACTGGTGTATTACACTTTCTATTCTAAAAGTATTTCTCCAACGTAGAAACAGAGGCATTCTTCATAAAAACAATTAACCTTTGGTAAATCTGAGAACAAGGAGATAGTTACCTTCTGCCAATCTCTGTTTCCACCCTTGCGCTGCATATGCGAAGAATTCATTATTTAGAGCAGAACTACTGAGGCGCAAAACTCCATCACTTCCCATCTAGAAAATAAGCCGATGGTAGCAGAAGATAGTGTCAGAAATAGCGTCAGCTAAGATTACATAAAACCAGAATTCCAATTAAGGGAAATGGGGTGGGATAGGGAGTGGGAATAACAAAGAAAATTACCTACTACTACTAAACCAGCATTTTCATTATAGTTGTTACTGTAAATGCAAGCGGGCTAATCCAGCATCAGTGTGCTCTCTTCAGTAGTAATCAGTCATCAGTACTACTGATAACTCAGTTTACAACTGATTGATGCATTTTAATCACAGCCTCCTATCTTGAGCCTATGTCTAGAGCTATTGTACACAATCAAAAATCAAGATCATTACTGTACTTGTGCGTCTGCCTGGAATATCGTACAAAACAAATTAATTAAATGTAATGAAGACCGTAACTTTGCTGTTTCTAAATAAACCTAACACTCATATTAGCTAATATGCTGTACTGGCATAAGACTGGATGACAAGTAACCTTAACAAAATAACGGGTGTAAACTCTGCACTAAAACCAGCTATACAAATAATTTTATGGGCATCAACAGTGAAAACTATGGAAGAACATTATAATTATTTTTACTTTCTACATCTGTCAAACATTCAATGATAGAACATCATTAAAAGTCTTAATTACAATATTTTTTACAATAACTTTTAAAAGCAATCCAACTATTGAGCTTTCTTTTGCCATAAAACTTAATGCTTATTTTCAGGTTTTGAAGATATGTCTGACTATTGAAAGAATTCGAATAACTGAAAAAAGTAATTATATAAAACAAATTAGCAGTGGGTATCACCTCTAGCATAATAAACAAACAGACATTAAAAACAAATTAGCAAATACAGAGAGAAAGAGAGGAAACAGCAGAAGTAGTAATGTTGCTAGAATAAACAGTCTCACTATAGTTCATTTTACACCCTTTAAGGTAACTAAGAGATGAATATTTGTCAACACCATTTGTGATCTAGCAGTAAAACCCAGCACATTTTCCAGCATATTAACACGTTTTAGCTTGGTAATATCCCCTAATTCTCAGTGCTTGTTTCAAACTGGAGCCAGAAAGAAGCAGACGTGTCAGAAACATTAAATGATATTTAGCTGTATCTCCCTTGCTGAGCTCTACATTTCACCGATAATACTGGCCCTACTTTCAGAACAGTCTTTGCTAATTTACTCATTGCCTAGCTGACATCCTGTCCCACAATAATCTCACAGGACTAAACCAGAAAGATGTGAAGTAGTAAAAAGAGAAATAGAGTGATAAGGATGGACTCTAGAAAACAGGCAGCGCTAAAGGCATTTGATACAGCAAGAAAACAGTATGAGCATGGTACCAGGCTCCCTCAGCAGGATATGAACCTAAAGTACTGCTGCCTGTGATTTCCTGTTCTATGGCGTTGTTTTGCCAACAAGTCATAGGATTTGCATTCAAGTAGGGTGGATATATAATGCCTCTATGCTTTTCATGGTGTGGGTTGCGAAACACATGCATAGTAATTACAGATGGGCTATGACTAATGCTGAAACTGGAGGAAAACCCGAAAGAAACAGTGAAACGTGGAGTAGAAGCAGCAAGAAAATAAAATCAGTGAGACAAGAGAAAGGCCATAAAGATACTTATTGCATAAATCAAATTGGTATGATACATTATCTTCTTTCTGCACAAATGAACTTTTCCAGAAATATTTAAATTCCAGAATTAATATATTAAAGTGAGATTTTTAGATACCAGTGCCTCTTGCGTCTGAACAAACAAACCAGTAGAGGGTTGAAAACAGCACTTACACAATTTCCTAAAAAGGTGAGATGAAGAGTTATAAAGAAAAGAATCACAAGTTACTAAATAAACAATTCTTTGTTCTCCAAAGAAAGGTGCTGAAACTACCTTCAACTTCAACACAAAAGGAGATGAAACAGTAACATCCAGTCATGTCAATGTACATTCTACTCCAAACTTCCATGAATTCAAGATTTTATCCCAAAGCCTGACAGTGTTTTGCAGGAAAGAATAATACAGACGTGGGATTGTTATTATCATATTAAACCTCATTTAACTGCAGGCTACCTCTGAAAGGCATGGTCCTCCTGAAACTTCACGGCTTAGCTGATGGCAAACAGTGTAGCCATATCACTAGCCAGATCAACAAATCTCACAGGAAAGCAATAACTTGTGGACAATAATTTTCTGTTAAATTTGCAAGATGATCCAATTTATCCTAAGGTCATATGATCATTAGATCGCATGGAAAGCTGGAATGTACCACAAGAAGCGGAAAGAGAATGCCACTTTTCAGCAGCCATCCACTTTCAGATTGCATAATACATAATATGAAACTGTAGGCAAGTGTGATTGAGCTATTTCACTAGGCTGCATAAACCAAGAGCACTATGAAGACTGCCAAGTTAGATTACCATCTGAATACAAGAACAGTATTAGCTTCGTTGTAACCCTGTTGTTGTAAGGACATGAGAAAAGCAAGCTTTGTAGGAAGAGTTACTGCATCTTTTATTTTATTGGCTAATATACTTGGAAAAAAATGCCTAGTTTTTGGGTGCACAATTTCTTATAAGGTTTGAAAAAGAAACTGCAAACCTCAAGCTAAATGCTAGAAAGTTGTCCAACCAAATTCAAATGTTAACTAGACTACCTGAGAGAAAAGGACAGGCTGGAACTTCAGAACAGAAAGCAAATGTTAGCAAGGTCATAGGTAAAGTTCATTAGTTCTTGTGGACCAGAAAAATGCTAAGTAGGAGAAAAAAGCAAAGGATAAAAAAAACCCAGCAAACCCACAACAGAAGAATAGCAGAAAGGGAGAATCAGAAGATTGCAGTGGGTTACCTAAGAAGAGAGATTAGTAAAGGTCAACTAGCAGCAATGGAACAACAGATCATTGGTGGACTGCATTGGAAAACAGATGCAGGCTGCACTGACCACTTCGGATATTAACTGTTACAGCTTAAAAGTATTAGGGAACTATGTTCACAAGATTGAAAATATGATTTTAAAGATGCTTAAGTTAAGAAAAGTAAGAAGAACAAACTCAAGAAGTTACTGCTGACTTCATGACAGTCATTGCCTTTGATGACTGGCAGAGGAGGAGCTTTCCTGAGACCTATGTTCATGGGACCACATAAGTCATGGAAGATTTAAGTAGCTGGAACAGCCAAAATCTAGACAGAAGAGTATATAATGATACAGAAGGTGGAAACACACTAATTAATTAGAGGAGATGCTTCCAGTGATCTATTTTAACATATGAAAGAATAATTTCAGACTAAAACTCTGTGGAGGAATGCATGAAAGTAGTTGTCATTACCTAGACTTGGTACACATAATTTAGGGTAAGAGTTACCAATGGAAAAAATGCAGGAAATAAAGAGCTGGCCAGCCCCAGTGACTTTGCCAAATGTGCTCAGAGATTTGAGATCAAAGAAAACCTGTGCTGGGAATGGAACAGGAAGAATTTATTTAGTTAGTTAAAGTTCAAAGAGAAAAGGATGAGGAGGGGTGGAAAAAAAGCTAAAGAAATTTATAATGGCCAAAGAGCTAAAGTGAATGAGACAGAATTTTTCAGAATGTTGTATGACAAAAAAAGTACTAAGCAGAAAGCAGATCCGCTCTCAAATGAGGAAAACAACCCAAACAAAACTAACAAGAATTGTTTAGCTATTTTGAATTCATTCAAAGATTTCTAGACAGGGAAAAAAAGTGTGAGCAAGTTAGAACAGTCACAGAATGAGCAATTTTACATCTACACGGAAAAAAGAGGGAATGGAACACTTTCTGTGTACCAGGAAGAGTCTATCAGAAACAACGACACTAACAAATATGTTTTGGTCCTTTTTTCAATACCCTAAGTCATGTGAAATTAGGCTGACATTCTTTCTGCTCTGTTAAACTTGGAAGGACTAAGAGGTCTTCCTCCTACAATATTAGCTAACAAACTCTACTGAAATCATCTTTTCTTACCCCTCACCCAGAGAACTCATTTTCACCTAAGCCAAAAAGTTAAAGTAGAAAATGAAAATTTTGAAGCCAAAGGGTGTATTTACTTCTCTATGCTCTGATGATAGAGACAGCACAATTAACCACTAGGTCTAAATTAGAATTTGAAGAAACATGCCAATAAAGCAGTTCTTAAATACACTATTAATTTTTATGGTATTTAAAAAATGCTGTCCAACAGAGACAGTGTGGTAATGAGCTGGAACAATAAACATTTCTTCGAAAGTTTATGTTTTATTCTGTTGAGCTTTAAATTTCTGTTTTTCTGATTAAGCACAATGGTAGAATTATGTTTTCTAATTAATACTTGTGTGCAGAATTCACAATGGCTTTTAAAAGTTCGTCTTTTTATTGAAAGCAAATAAAAAACCCATCCAACCCCAAAACATATCTGCTAAAACCCAACATCTGTTTGAATTACAAAGCAAATGTCAAACACTCTTATCAAAAGGAAATGAGTAATGTTTCTATGAACAACTACTTCAATTATTTTCCTTCAAGTTCCACTGAAACTTCTTTTCTGACAAGAAGGCAGGGATTATTTTTGTAGCTCAACCTGAAAATGCACACTGGTGGTTTGGTAGGGATACAGCAAGTACTGCACAGGTGTGTACCACCAGTAGGTATTCTGATCTTGGCTGGAATGTTTGAAGACAAGGAATTAGCAAGTCTATTATTTCTCTCTTTCGAATGATTCAAAATTCTCCCAATGTATTTATAAACCTGCTAATTATCCACTATATATAGTTCCTGTGAAGTTAACATATTTCTTATATGAAAGCTTATGCGTGAACATCACACCATTTGACCATAACACCTCAAAATACAAAACCAAACAAAAAATCAGCAAAAGAAGTGAAGATTCATCCAAATTAAGTGTTCAGTATCACTCAAGTAATTATACACTTTCTACAAACTGCTACTAACCCTCTTTTGTACTTTTATATTATTTTATCTTGGGGGAAGAACAGTTCTATAATTCACAGACTT